TAACAAAAATGAAAAACAAAGGAGAGGGGTTTGATACAAGATATGAGCAGGCAGAAGAAAGAACCAACAAACTTGAAGTTGAGTCAATTAAGAATATCCAGTCTGGGGGCATCTGGGTGGCTCAATGGGTTAAGCCTCTGCCTTCGGCTCAGGTCATGATCTCAGGGTCCTGGAATCAAGCCCTGCATCGGGCTCTCTGCTCAGTGGGGAGTCTGCTTCCCTCTCTCTGCCTGTCTCTCTGCCTAATATGATCTCTATCTGTCAAATAAATAAATAAAATCTTAAAAAAAAAAAAGGAATATCTAGTCTGCAGGCACCTGGCTGGCTCACTCAGAAGAACAAGCAAACCCTTTATCTTGGGGTTGTGAGTCCCAGCCCCACACTGGGTGTGGCGATTACTTAAATAAATAAATAAAAACTTTAAAACAACAAATGAAAAGAATATCCAGTTTGAGGAACAGAAGGAAAAAAACTTAGGGCAGTGAGACAATAAAAAGAAAGAAAAGGCATTCAGTGTGGAAGAGAAGTAAAACTTTTTCTATTTGCAGGGGCAGCTGCGTGGCTCAGTTGGTTGGGTAGCCAACCCTTGATTTCAGCTCAGGTCATGATCTCAAGGTCCTGGGATCCAGCCCCAAGTTAGGCCCTTTGTTCAGCAGGGAATCTGCTTGAGGATTCTCTCTTCCTCTCCCTCTGCCCCTCCCCCCACTCATTCTCTCTCTCTCTCAAATAAATAAATAAATCTTCAAAAACAAAAAAAAATTTTTTTTTTAAGATTTACTTATTTGATAGAAAGAGACACAGCAAGAGAGGGAACACAAGTAGGGGGAGTGGGAGAGGGAGAAGCAGGCTTCCCACCAAGTAGGGAGCCCAATGCAGGACTTAAACCCAGGACCTGGGGTCATGACCTGAGCTGAAGGCAGAAACGCAATGACTGAGCCACCCAGGCACCCCCCAAAATTTTTTTCTATTTGTAGGTGACATGATCTTATATATAGAAATTCCTTAAGGAATCCACTAAAAACTAATAAACAAGTTCAGCAAGGTTGCAAAATACAAGGTCAACATACAAAAATTGATTATATTTCTATACACAGGTAATGAATATTCCAAATATGAAATTAAGGGAAAAAGTCCATTTACAGTAGTAACAAAAATCATAAAATACTTAGGTATAATTTTAACAAGGAAGTATAATAGAATAGGATTTTTTTTTTTTTAGATTTTATTTATTTGACAGAGATCACAAGTAGGCAGAGAGGCAGGCAGAGAGAGAGGGAAGCAGACTCCTTACTGAGCAGAGCCCGATGCGGGGCTTGATCCCAGGACCCTGGAACCATGACCTGAGCCGAAAGCAGAGGCTTTAACCCACTGAGCCACCCAGGCACCCCTAGAATAGGATTTAAAAACCTGTAATGCTTATATATTAAAAATTATAAACAATCGCTGATAGAAATTAAAGAACTTATTAATAAATAAGGGGAAAGATGTCCCATGTTCATGGACTGAAAGATTTAATACTGCTAAGCTGGTTAACACTCTCAAAATTGACCTACAGATTCAGTGTAATCCCTATGAAAATCCTTGCTGGCTTTTTTGAAGGCATTGACAATCTGATCCTAAAATTCATATGGAAATGCAAGGGACCTGAAATAAACAACAAAATCTTTTTTTTTTTTTTAATTTTTTTAGATTTTATTTATTTGACAGAGAGAGACAGTTGTGGGGGGGAATATAAGCAGGGGGAGCAGGAGAGGGAGAAGCAGGCTTCCTGCGGAGAAGGGAGCCTGATACAGGACTCGATTCTAGGACCCTGGAATCACGACCTGAGCCAAAGGTGGACACTTAATGACTGAGCCACCCAGGAGCCCTCTTTTTTTTTTTTTTTTTTTTTTTTAAAGTAATCTCTACACCCAACATGGGGCTCAAATCACAACTATGAGATCAAGAGTCCCATGCACTACCAAATGAGCTACCCAGGCCACCAATCAACATAATCTTGAAAAAGAAAAACAAAATTGAAGGACTCACATTTCCTAATTTCAACCTACCACACAAAGTGACAGTAATCAGAACAGTACTACAGTGGAATAGAACTGAAAGCCCAGAAATAAACCTTTACATTTATGGTCAACTAATTTTCAAAAAAGGAGGTCAAGACAATCAAACAGGCCAAGGACCGTCTTCTCAACAAAAGGTGCTATGACAAGTGGAGAGCTAAACATAAATGAATAAAGTTGGAACCATATCTCATATTATACATAAAAATTACTCAAAATAGATCACAGACCTAAATATAAGAGCTAAAGCTATAAAACTCAATATGAAATAGTGGAATAAATCTTCGTGAACTTTGGTTAGGCAAAACTTTCTTATACATAACACTAAAAGCATAAGCAACAAAAGAAAAAAAGATCAGCAGACTTCATCAAATTTAGAACTTTTGTCTGTAAACAATACCATCAAGTGAGTGAAAAGACAACTCAGAATAGGAAAAAAATATCAGCAAATCATGTATCAACTAAGGAATTTGTATCCATAATAAAGAACTCTTAAAACTCAATTAAAAAAAAAAGACAAGTTATCCAAAAATACTACAAACAATTTAAATATACATTTCTTTAAATAAAATATACAAATGACCAGTAAGTACAGAAAAAGAAGCTCAATTCAAGATCATTAGTCATCAGGGCAGTGCAAATCAAAATCATATTACTTGACACCCACAAGGATGGCTAGAATCAAAAGACACACAATAAGTTTAGTAAGGACAGACCAACTGGGACCCTCGTACCTTGCTAGGGGGATGCATAATTATGTAGCCAGCTTGGAAGCAGTGTGACGGTTCTTCAAAAAGCTGACCAGAGTTACCATAGGATCCAGTAATTACACTCCTAGATATATACCCCGAAGAAAATACATATCCACACCAAAACTTCTAAATAAATAAACGTTCACAGCAGCATTATTCATAGTACCCAAAAAGTGGAAACAACCCAAATGTCTACCAACTGATGAATGGATTAGCTAAACGTGATATACCTACACGATGGAATATTATTTGGTCATAAAACGGAATAAAAGTACTGATACATGCTACAACTTGTATGAATATTAAAACTATTACGCTAAATGAAAGAAGCCAGACACGAATGGTTCATATATTATCGGATCCTTTTTATAAGATATATCCAGAAGAGGCAAATCCACAGAGACAGAAAGCAGATTAGTGGTCACCAGGTGATGGGGGGGAGACGGGGGAATGGGGCGTGATTATTTAACGAGTATGAGATGGTTCACATGATGATGAAAAACTTTTGAAACTAGAGAGAGCTAGTGGTTGCACATCAAAAATACAGTAAATACCACTGAACTATAAACTAAAATTGTTAATTATAAGTTACATGAATTTCACAATTTTTTTAAAAAGAAATTCCTTAAGGGAGGAAAAAAGTATATGCCCATACAAAGATTTATACACAAATGTTTACAGCATAACTTTTAGCTGCCAAAAACTGGAAAAAACCCAAATGTGCATCATCAAAACACAAATGGATAAACAAATTGTGTTATAGCTATACAGGATTGCTACTCAGCAATAAAAATGAACTACTGATACATGCATCAACATATATGAATCTCAAAATAATTATGCTTAGTTTAAAAAAAGCCAAAGAAAAAATAAATGTGAGAGTATATACTTTACAATTCCATTTATATAAAATTCTAGACAGTGAAAACTGTTCTATAGTGACAGAAAGTTCATCAGTGGTTGCTGAGAGACTACAGAAATTGAGGGGAAGTATTAAAAATGGGGATAAGGAAACTTGTGGAGGTGATATTTTCATTATCTTTACTGTGGTAACAGTTTCATGGGTGAACAACACATATGTCAAAACTTAACAAACTGTATACTTTTAACATGTACAGCTTACTGTATGTCAATTACAGCTCAAGATCTATTTTGAAAAAGATGGGGAAAAGGCTAACAGGACAATGTATTCATGCTGACTACCCAATGGCTCTTAAGGGAGTGGTAAAACAGTTTTACTTTACTTTGATGAGTGTATAAACAACTCCTGGCAAAACTATACATGGAGAACCACTCACAGCAAGCATATAAATTTGAATTTTTGTAAATTTACAAATACTTCTATTAACCAACATTATAATATCAGAGATGCTGAATTTTCATTTTTGACTGATTTTCAAGTACTGCTAAAAACCCTCTCAGTTCCAGCAAGTACTACCATTAGCACAATCTGTAAATAAATATTTAGACATACCAAGAAAGCTCCTACAAGAAGCCCTTAAAATAAGGTTCCTTAAAGCTAAAACACCTGTGAACAGTATTTCAAGTGTGACAAAAACAACACAAAAAATTCCCATTATCCATACTAACAATCTTTTAAGAATGCCCCCATTAGTATCTCTTAACCTTTTGTAAGATAAAGTAAATATCTATTTTGTAAGGTAAATATCTATTTACCTTTTATAGATATTCACTCAAATAAATTTAAACTATTTCAAACTTATTATCTTTCTAAAAAGCTAGAAAAGCCTTAAAATTAAAACTCTAACTAATCTAATTGGATTTTTAAAGAAAAATCTAATTGGATTTTTCTTTACCAAAAAGTATGTCCATTGTTTCAAAGACAAACAAAAAGTATGATGTATTCAGTAGTGAGAGAAGTTATGAAAATGAGGGTGAAGTTCAGTCAAAACCACTTTATATTCATGTACTTATGACAGGTGAGGAATGACATCATCTAATTCAAGCTACCATCATCTCTCACTTCGACTACGGCAGTAGTCTTTTTTATTTCCTAATTCAGGTGAACTCAGTCTTGATACACTCTAGTCTCAGTTTCTTCATCTATTAAACGGATACAATAACAGTTCCAACTTCATGAGGTTGCATGACAATTAAGAGAATATAGGTATAGCACTTAGCTTGTTGTCTAGCACATAGAAAGTGCTCTATAAATGTTACCTATTATTACCTGAATAAATGTTCAGCCTCCATGAGTCCAGTGCTGGAATGGCATCACATAAGAAACAAGTCTAACCTCAAAAAAAAAAAAAAAAAAAAAAAAAAGTTAAAAGCAATTTCAATCTTAATGTAGTGAGACTCCCAAAGAAAAATATCCATTCCAAAATCCACAGCAGCTTCTTTTTTTGTTTTTTAAGATTTTATTTACTTGAGAGACACAGGGAGACAGAGTGCACACGTGAGCAGGGGTGGGGAGAAGGAGAAACACTCCCCGCCGACCAGGGAGTCCAAACTGGGGCTTGGTCCCAGGATCCCGAGATCATGACCTGAGCGGAAAACAGACACTATACTGACCAAGCCACCCAGGTGCGCCTCCACAGCAACTTCTTCATATCTTCTTTCCCAATTCCTTTTGCTCACAATGTTTCTCATAACCCTATACCTGCCCTGAACCCTCTATATCCAGTCCCTCTTTTTTTTTTACATCCATTGCTTTAATGCACAGGTTTTTTTGTTGTTGTTGTTTTTATTATTTTTTTAAGTAAACTCTACACCCAACGTGAGGCCTTGAACTTACAACCACAAGATCAAGAGTCACATGCTCTGGGGAGCCTGGGTGTGTCAGTCTGTTGAACAACCGACTCTTGGTTTCCACTCAAGTCATGGTTTTGGGGTCCTGGGATCAAGCCCCGCATCAAGCTCCAGGGTCAGTAAGTAGTCTGCTTGAGATTCTCTCCTCTCCTCCCTCAATCCCTCCCCCAGCTAGCATTCACACTCTCTAAAACATATAAAATCTCTAAAAAAAAAAAAAAAAAAAGAGTCACATGCTCTACCAACTGAGCTACCCAAGCGCCCCTACCTATTCCTATTTTCAATTCACAATACAACACTCTACTCATCTGGCTCTGTCTCCTCTAATGATACCCTCTTCTTCTAAGCAGTTTCTCGGTCCACTTTCTAATATAAGTTAATCATCCAGTCTTACTCCTTGAAATTCTTCAGCTGTCTCCTACCCATTATCATTTTATAGAAGACAATTCTAGAAACTGAGCCAGCAGACAGGTAATCTCTCTCAGTGGATGAGAAGAATATAGAGAAGCCAGAGACAGAATTTTCTTCTGTGAGTAGAAATGAGTATTACAAACACATAATTTAATATCTCCCCTCCCTGACTACAATATTATTACTTTTGTTGTTGTTGTTGCTATTATAGGACTCTGAGAGCTGGCTGCTGCTTAATCCACAATAGAAACTCTGAGTGCTGAATGCCACCACTAGAACCCTTCATATGCCAAGCCCGTCTGTGTTCTTGGAACCCTCAAAATACCTAAGCCACACTGGGTCCTATGCTGAAGTGAAGAGTATCCCTAACTCTTCATTTTGTTTTACAACTCTACCCATGAGTATCACATCGCTAAAGTCTGCCTTTCCAATATCATACTAGATTTCTATGAAAAAGCTCTCTGGTTTCTTTATAGCCCCTGTACCTTAGGGTTCTGGCATTAGAGATGTGTGGTAGTTTGGTTAGGTTTGGGAGGCATGACCAGGATAATCACCCTTCCCCTTTTTCACCACCAACCTTGTCCTAAAACACTGTCTGCATGGTAATTTTCCCCCCCAGGAAATGCCTTATTCTCCCCTCTGCAAAGAAATTACTAGTTGCTTTTCCCCATAGGCACTCAAGGTATGCCCAGATGTGCCTGATTTTTAAGTGGGCAGAGTGAGTTCATGTTGAGAGCCCTGCCATACCAAGAGTTCTCTCTCCATTTTGGAGTTAGAGAATCAAGAGCAACATAATTCAAAACACATATTAGTGCTTATTGATGTTATGGTTTTCTTGCCCTATTTGTAATTTTACCAAAATTAAAAGTGGAATACTTTCTGAAAGAAGTTCAATTCCTTTCTGCTGTCCATCCTCCATAACCCCCATATAGTTTGTAGGTTTTTCATAAAATGCAATAGTCTCTTAACTAATCTCTCTACTTCCTTTCTGGGTACTCTGCTATCTGTTCTCCCCAGAGAAGTATGAGTCATCTTTTAATCAGATCATTTAGCTTTCTTCATCAACCAGCTTCTTTCTACTAATGGTTCTCCATTACCCTAGGCGAGGTCTATGGAGTCCTACAAAATCTGGCCCCTGCCTATTCTTGAAAATACAAACCACATACTCCCAATGAGGCCTTAGTATTTGTTGTTCCTCCTGTCCAGAATACTCCTCTCCCATCAGGAAATGCTGGTTCTACCTCCCTTCAAGTTCACACGTCACTATAAAAAAGTCTTCCTGACCATCCCATCTGACTATACCCCTCTCCCTTACTCTCAGTCACATCACCACATCTATTTTCTTCATACCACTCACATACTCACTCATAATCTGTAATTATTTATTTATTTGAAAACTGCCTATCTTCTCAAATGAAAATGTAAGTTCTTCAAGGACAGAAATCTTGTGTGTCTTATTCTTATCTGTACCTCCAATGTGAAATAGTGCCTGACACATAAACACTGTAACGTTTTCTAATTGTCTGATTAATTTACAAAGCTAAGTACTACCTCTGAGGTAAACTTCAGTTTTTAAAAAAAAATTTAAACTTATTTGTACAGCCAGGACACCTGGTGGCTCAGTCATTTAAGTGTCTGCCTTTGGCTTGGGTCATGATCCCAGGAGTCCTGGAAACCGAGTCCCACACTGGGCTCCTGGCTCAGCAGGGAGTCTGCTTCACACTCTGCCCTCCCCTTCTGCTCATGATCTCTCTCACTCAAATAACTATAAAAATGTTTTAAAAATTAAAATTAAAAAATAAACTTATTTGTACAGCCAATAGGATGGCCTAGCCATCATAACCCTGTGTTCTTGTGTTCATTGTAACAAACTGCCTTGTATTCTCAGCTCCCCTTCTTTCTCTGAAGATAAAATATGCACAGAAAATAAGACGGCAACCTTATCTGGCAGCAATGTTCTCTGGGTCTGTGAGACCCAAACCCAAGGTTCTCAGGCAACAGCAAGTGACAAAGATCTGGTTACCAGCACTGTACTAAGGAGTGCCTCACAACCCAGAACAACCAGGTTAAACTGACAAAAGGTGCAAATGCCTATGAGAGAACACAGTTGATAAAGAGTTCTGTGAAGCACTCCAAATGCCTTGGAGATAACCTCACAAGAGCAGGAAGATTCAGTTCAGCCATCTGACTGGTGGTGTGTTCTATAAAGCCTTAGTAATGACCCTGTCACCAGGAAAACAGATACTGTGCCTTGCCTTCTAATCAGCTGCATTTAGCAGCCAACATCCATCTTTTGCAATAAAATGCCACCTCGAGAGTTCCTATTCCCATCAAATTATCACAGGTTTGGGAAACAGATAAATCAGAAACTATACTTAACAAATCTACTTGTCTGGGACCCAAGACAATTAATTAAACTTACTAGGAAAAGCAGAAAAAATAGCCTCCAGCTACCTGGAGACAAGTTTTAAAGATCCTAAAAACTATAACACCTGAGCACACCAAAATGGCTATAATCTGCAAACCAGCCACATGTCACTTCCAATAGTACTCCTACACTGAAAGTGACCTTCCCCCTCCAAAATAAAAAATGTTTAAAGTCAGGTGAATCTTGAACAATGACTCTGACTTTTTTTCTAAAATAAGAGCTATGACAGCTACCTTAATACGAGGCCCAATAAATTCAGGGTAAGGGGCTCATTGCGCTGACACTGTCACCTCATCTAGGACTTCAGCTGATTCATCCTGATGGGCTGACAGGTCACTGACATCTGCACCTCTCCCAAGATTCTTGTTTATTTCACATATAAAAACACTGTCTCCTCACGACAACTGCAGTCCAGACCCCTTCTCCTGCTGCAGAGCCTTTCCCTTCCAGACTTCACTGAGACCTTAGAAAAACAGTTGTTAATTTAGGCTCATATTAGTAACTCTAGATGGCTAACAAGGCATGGAAGAGATGGGAATAGAGCTGATGAAAGGACCAATGTTAACATTCAGGTCTTACCAATTTTTTAAAAAAGGACGTAAAAAAAATCAAAATCACTAGGGAAGAAACTAATCTCTTCATCATTAACAAATGGTTGTTATTATTATGATAACTGGGAAAGTCACAGTCAGGACCTGAAAATGTCTGGTCCTTGGCCACACCAAGTAATCACAGAAGACATCCTTTAAGTAAGCTTTGTTCTAACACAAACTACAAGAAGAAATACCAGGCAATGATAAAATATCCACAAACTTCATTTAAAAGGAGTGATGGGGGCACCTGGGTGGCTCAATGGGTTAAGCCTCTGCCTTCAGCTCAGGTCATGATTTCAGGGTCCTGGGATCGAGCCCCACATCTGGCTCTCTGCCCGGCGGGGAGCCTGCTTCCCCCTCTCCCTCTGCCTGCCTCTCTGCCTATTTGTGATCTATCAAATAAATAAATAAATAAAATCCTTAAAAAAATAAAAAAATAAAAGGAGTGATGGAAAGAAGGGAAGAAGAGAGAGAAAAAGAGAAAGAAAGGAACAAGGAAGAACAATGAGGCCCAATGCTGTGGATCAAACACACCCACAAATTATTTGCAGCAATTGCCATCAAAAAGTGGAGTTCATTTCCTCACCCTCAAATCTGAGCTGGCCTTGGGACTTGTTTTGTCCGACAGAATGTGGCATGAATGACACTAATTTCTGATCCCAAGTCTTAAGAAAGCTTGCAACTTCCACTTTCGCTCTCTTGGGACCTAGTCACCGTTCAAGGTAGCCAAGACACAGCAGGAGAGGCCAAGGCACCCTGGATGACAGCTCCAGCCTAATGATGGATAATGCCAGAGTGAGGCTATCCAGATACAACCAGCCCCTCAACAACCTACCAAATGACCACAAACACGTGAGTAAGACCAGCAAATTCCATGTGCAATAGAGGCAAGCCAGATGAGCCCTGCCCAAATTGCCACCCCACCTAATCATAAGCAAATAAACAGTTGGGGTTTTTGTTTGTTGTTTTTTTAAAGATTTTATTTATTTGACAGAGAGAGAGAGAGCACAAGCAGGGGGAGAGGAAGGCAGGGGGAGAGGGGGAAGCA